AGGAGGCGGCAAACCCTACCTGGAGCCTTATCTTCAACCAAAACCGGTGAACATACGATATAATCCTCACATGTATCAAGGAGGGTTGTTACCTCGCTTGGAACATACAGACGAACCAGTCCGTCTTCCGGAGTACAGGCCGCGCGATTATTGGGCGCCCCACCGCGCGCACTTCGGTCAGAATGACTACATTGGTGAGTGAATGTTGTGTCTGCCTCATCACTATACACACTAGCCAGATAGGAAACAGCTATTGTGCCACATTGTAAACCAATTAGTTATTTAACAATGAATGGATAAGGAAACTGGAGTAATAAAAGCAAAAAAAGGAGCCATTATACTATGCGTCGAAACTGAGATCGCTGTTGCAAGGGGAGACTAATCAGGACAGGAGTGGGCAAGCAAACTCAACACCATTAAGGTGGATTCCTGTCAAAAAGTATATCCAGCCAAATGTATTCATCTTCTTTCCGACCCCAATCAGGGAATCGAGAGGCTCCAACCGATATCAACTTTTAATTGATAGCTTTCATCCCTTCTGACCGCATTATTGCTTGGCTTCCCCTCCCCTTCCATTTATACCCGGCTTGGACAAACGACGCACTTCGCGGACATCGGTGTCCTAATATTCGTAACGCAGTCTAGCCCTCGAGGCCTTGTGCTGAGCGGCGAACGCTGTCATTGCTCGCACGTTGTTCCCATTGAATGTGAGCCAAACTGCGAAGGTAGCGAACATAACATTCCTTTTTCTGTCTGTCGATCTGATGGACCAAGTTTCACAACCACACTGAGTTATGTTCCTGTCTCATGTCCACTTCAACACCTATATACTAACGATTGTTCTACCCTGATTGGCCAGATGCACAGGCTCGCACACACCCACCTATCTGTTCGCGTCACCTGTGAGTGAGGCGACCTTTATCCGTTCAGTAGGTTTAGTTCTAACTGTTGTATCCGTACAGTGGCAGTGATTCAGAACACCTGTAGCTCGGGTTGGTACCTAAGGTTTTGATTGCTTCTCCGAGCTGAGTAATTTAATGGCAAACGTTTCACCACTTCCCTCAGTGGCATCTTCAGTGCACTGCTGCGTAGAGGAAAATCTCACGGAAAGTGTCGTAGCCTTTGTAACTGGCCTCGTCGATCCGTGTCCCTTGACCTCTGTTCGTTCGATTTTCGTCCTCCCAGTTTCATGCTTTTTCAGCTGTAGGTACATAGGCTCAAGGTCAATGCGGAGGTTCACTGAATTCTCCATAGGGAACTATGCCTCGAGGAATTCTCTTCCTTTTCTTGTCCCTCCGTGCGCCAGCATGTCCGTGTTGTCCCATTTAATGTTGTGTCCTACCTCATCGATGTGCGCTGTGATCTGTGACAATGCATAATGTTATCGACATGAACGTTTTTGCTTTTGTATTCTTGTAGATAGTTTTCTCTCCGTTTGACCCACATAGTCTTTCTCACAGTTCTCGCACTGTATCCTGTAGACGACATTTCGGCGTTCATGTGCCTCCAGTTTTCCTTTAGGTCTAGACAAGAGCCCCTTCAAAGTTGCAGTTGGTATGTGAGCTACCACCAGGTTGTGCGGCTTGAGGAGTCTGGTTGTCTTTTCCGAGATGTTTTCGATGTACAGCAAGGCGATACGTTTCCCCGTTGTTGGTGCAGTTGCGCTAGTTGTGCTCCTTCGATTTAGGTGTGTCGCTTTTCTGTAAATTGATGTTTCTAATTCGCCTTCCACTGTTGTGGTAGCCAACACGTCCAGAAAGGGTAGTTGCTTTACCACCTCTTCTTTCATGGTGAAACTAATAGCTTCCATTGTATTGTTATGTTGTTCTCGTGCGGTCTATAACTGGCTGCGTTTGCAAATCGCAAACGTATTCTCAACGTATCGCACCCATAATTTCGGACTGGGAGTAGATCCTCTTCCGACCTCTGCATGACGACCTCCGCAACAAGTCCAGATATGGGGAACCTCATTGGAGTTCCTCTCACTTGCTCGCAAAACACCGTTGAATTTGAAGTAGGTTGTAAGACACAAGTCGAATTTACGTATGCTTTCAGTCATCAGGTTCCCAGTCGTTTGTCCTCCACTGTTCAAACGTTCTCTGATGTTTTCTTTCGCTATTTGTAAGTTGATAGATGTGAAAAATGTGGTAAGTTTCCTTTTCCCACACACCATCCTAATGTAAGTTGTTGCACAACTGTACCATTCCTATTTGGCACTTCGAACTCCACCTTTTGACACTCGAGAGCCTGACTACTATTACTACTACTACTACTGCTACTCTCCATCACAATATATCCGTTTTTATTTGTTTGGCTCTGTTTGTTGCTACGGCGAAAAATGCGAATGGCTAGTCTTGTCACCAGACTTACTCCCGGTGTGGTTAGTGAAAACTTAAGACAATGGACAGAGTAATTTGCAACGGTAAACTCCGGTTATACAAGCGCATTTGTAAACAACTGAATGCCTTAGACCTACGAATAGGTAGTCCTACTAGCTAGTTCGGATGATAATAATTCCACTAAAAGTTAGGCCGGTATGTCATGCAAGGGCCCGGTAAATTTCATGTAGTAAAGCAAAAAAAATTTGTGGGTTCCAAATCTTATCGACATATAGACGAGGTTCACCGTTAGGGCCGTTGCTTGCGGACGTCTTCATGAGCACACTAAACAGCAACCAGTTGTACGAATCCATCAATAGCTTAGTGCATTACAGTCGATATGTTACGACACAATGGAGTGTGCGTCAACAATCTATTGGCCACTTCCATTTTGAACCTAGTAACATAACTTTCACTATCGAGCTAGAACGTAACGACTCGTTGGCATTCCTAAAAGTCCAAATCAGACCGGTCAATGAGGAGGAAGGTACACAGATAGGAAACTTGGAATGGGTAGTACACCCATTTCGCGAGTTTTGTTCCGATGAGTTAGAAAAGAAATCTCGTCTGTTGCCTATCCGAGAGCACGAGGGGGTTGTGTTTGGAAAATACGCTTTCGAATGTGCTGAGCTTTATCCCAAGCGTATTCGAGCGCAATGGATACCCTGAAAATTCATCCAGAGGCACATGAAACAGCAAGTGCCAAAGCTAAAACCGGTTTCCGCGAAGTAGTGCATGATATACTTGTCGGTTACATGATAGCGGAAAGGACCATGCGAATATTTTTCATAGCAACAGCGAGAACGTATTTTGCTGCCAATTTGCGCGTAAGCCTCACCTCAACTCCGATTGTGCGCCAGCAACTAGGATAGGATACGTCCGTCACAAATTCCCTACTGTATGTACAATTTTTCTTGTTTGTATATATTGGGAAAGCCACCAGGCGACTGTCCGTTAGAGATCGATAGGCTTGTCCACCTTGGCTCTACAGCGGTGTGAGGAGGTATGTAACAAGCGAAGTGTATCGCACCTAGTGGCCTCTGAACACCAAAATAATTTGCATGCCGCATTCACACCAATCTACTGTGTACCCGGACGTCGCGCACCAGCAGTCAGATCCCGTCTGCTGTCGACAGCATAGGCGATCTCAATTCGTCTCCACAACCCAGACCTATGTGCACAGAAAAAAACGTCAAAACTCGCATTACCGTGGCCACAGGCCAGCACGGCTAATAATGGCGGTCACGTTACTTCACCTGACTTCACATTAACCACACCAATCACGTAGTCTTATCGATTAGATACTTTGTTTCAGTGACTCACTGAATTTCAACCTTATGTCTATCCTAGCCTGTTTTGTCCTTGTATTAGCCTGATGAAACCCTGAAAACAAACTTGTTCGTTACTTTCTCTTTCTGACTAATAACTTGTAAACTCATTGAGTTACTCATAGATTGCCAGTAAAATAGTCATCATCGTGAATTTGAACTTACATACGTTGGTGAATTGGCTGTGCTTCGGACTCGTTAGCCGAGCTACTGTGACTCCACACACGTCGGACTTGCTTTTCATTTCCATTGTCACTTCCCGCTAGACCTCCTCGGTGATGGAAAACTCGGGCCACGTGATTTTTACACTGGACCTACATGGGCTTTGGGTGCGCGCAACGAATTTCAACGCGTGTGCGCTCGTCTGAACAATCCGGCAATTGTAGCCTGGTTGGAAGAATTTGAGCCGTCTCGTTTGAAATTGGACCAGAAGAGTTACCGTTATCTTTACAAGAAAGTGAACAAGCGGAAAAACATCAAATTTCTGCGTTATCGTGATGCTCCTTGATAGCCTCCTGTATACAGTTAGTGATATAATTTTTTAATACTTGTGCGTTTCTCCTGCCTCCGAGTGGTAGTACGCTACTGCTTCGCACTTTTAATTTCCCAGTTGAACTCATTTCAACCGACTGCTTGGCTTTTTGATCCGACCACTGCCCAGTAAAATCTTCATTGGCGCCGGATATACTTCCTACAAGTAAACGTCTGCTGTGTCAGGGTTTGATATTTATTTTTAACGCCCGTACTTAATCATTTGCATGGTGCGTTGGGCTTTTCAATATCTTTTTCACACCCTCAGAGCAGAATGTACTGTTGCATCACTGGGCCGATATTCTGCCAACTCCAACACCGAACAGCTATTCAAGATGGTCAGGTAGGTAGCTGAATTGCCCCTGATAGTCAATTCTGAGACAAGTTTCTTGCATTAAGACGTAAGGCTCGAATGGCTTTTGAAGCCTAAGTTTTAGGAATATGGCGATTTGTCCGCTTCATGGTCGGAAATAGTGGTCTCTCACCACAATGTGACGGTTTGCTTACCCCTCCGATCCATTGAGCTCTACTACTTGATGTTGCTAGTGCTTTTGGAGCTAACTCCGTCCCACTGGGCAGTGATTAGAGCCTGGGTAAACTCTGTCTTTCGGTTAGAAGTGGAGCGACATTCATTTCCGTTGTACTGACCCATTCTATGGAACGTTGCCATATTCTGTCGCCTTTGCGGTCAAACTTACAAACCAAAAGGTTTTGTTTGAGGAGCCTGTTTTAAGTCTTGTCCCTCTGGCAGCATCCGACTCCAAATGCGGTCATGATTGTGCCCGGGAGAAAGTTAAATCTCCCATTAAGGCTCATCATTTCTATATGAAAACGATTTGAGCCAAAAGTGTACAGCCGAAACATCAAGTCGTTTCAGAAACATTCGTGTCCACTGCACGAAGCGCTATCTATCATCTCATTGGCTAGTGAAAGTGAACTACCAATCAGTGCAGCTGACCTAGCTTTTCTGAAACATGAACATTCTTGTGTTGACCTATATAACTGTCCATTTCTTTTGCACTATTTGTACCTGTTTTCGGCAGCTTTTCTTCAACACGCTTTCGCTCTCAGTAGTTGACTTCTACTTCTATCTGGGACCTGGAGCTAGCAGTGGACAAGTTCAGTTTAACTGGAATCACATGAAGAGGCAGATCTAACATATTGTCTCTCCAAGCGTCAGTGTAGCCTGGCCTACTCGACAACAGTTCCAGTTATGCATTGTCCATATTCTGTGGTAGTATATAGTGAATGATGCCCATGTCTGTTAGCTGGTGTTCAGCACCAGAACCTGCGCGCTGTTCATGCTCATCAAAAGCACGAGGCGGCTATTCAGCACTTTTCTGGGTGTTTGGAGATCTCAGTGCAGCGATGATGAAACTACTTTAAACTCTACAAATTCCTTTACGATTCAACATCTAACCTTTAATCTCCTCGAGCTTCGACGGCTTCGGCGGATCCTTTAGGCTATCAGTTACCGAAGTTTTACAAGCTGTTCCACATACGTATTTTTTATATTGCACGCGTTGCTTTTGCGAGGAAGCGAACCTATCACTGTTTTATCAAAAAGGCAACAGAAAAAGCAAGATGTGTGTCCGTACTCAACCACTCGGTAATACACAATAAGCAATTTTAATTGTCCGGATTTCATACAACTAATGAAAAGAGAGTTGCTGTATTTCAGCCAGCTAATGAAACCTGGGTAGTAGGGACACTGCAATGAATCGGCCACGGCAACCAATCCCCCTATCTGAAGAGCCGCGTCACGCTGGCTGGTATCGATCGACAGACTTCAAAAGTCGAGTAGACCGGCGAGGCTGACTTCGTAGTAACGCCGATTCGGCCTGGTTTCCACACATAGTTTGAGATTGGGTAGCTGGTTCATGGGCCGTGTGTAACCGACGTGCGTTAACAATTAGGACTTTTTCCAATTGATAGGTCCCTGGACCTAGTCTTTTTCTTATTTACAACGGCGCGGATAAAACTGGGAGGCAATTAGGCATAGCTCATTTTTTAATGCGAACGTATGCTCCAGGCTGCATAGGAGTTGATGATCTGGCGTAAGAATTTTAGTAATATGCTGTGCAATTTGAAACTCCCACACGTCCCGCAGATGATAAGTTATGTTCAGCATTTAGTTTGGTGCGTAAGGCCTTCCTAACGTTCTTCCGGGATCCCTGTGATCACAAGTTCTGTAAGAAAATACCGCAGTTAAGACATCATCTTCCCAATCTAACCCTACTAATTGGATGGCTTCCTTGAGGGATCGGTTTAGCCGCTCGTCCATGCGATTGACCGTAGGATTGTAAGGTGCAGTTCTGGAATGTTTTATGTTATGGCACTGGAGGAAGACTGCGAAGTCATGACTACAAAATTGTGGTCCGTTGCCCGTGACTATTACTTTCGGTAGTCCGAAACTACCGAACAAGTGTTTAAGCCAGCGTAACACAACCAAAGTAGTCACTTGGTCGCACATGTGGACTTCAGGCCACTTACTGTATAAACACGTGTCTACAAGTAGAGTTCTCTTATTCGTAGGAGCGGTGGCAAAAGGGCCCATACTATCAATGGCGATCTTAACCCACGGCTTCATCAGGTAAGTAATATGCTGTATCGGGGCTTCGACTGGTAGAGAACTTTTGTCCGCTAGGCGGCAAGTGTTGCAATTCATCACAAATGTCTCAATGCTAAATGTCATTCGTGGCCACCAAAAGTAGCGTTTCGCTCGGTTTTTGTTCCGAACGATACCCCAGTTTCCCTCATGTGCACAAACAATAATTTGGTTACCAACTGACGTGGAGCTATAAACCCAGAACCACGCATCAGACAACCATCTGTCACTGACAGTTCATCTGGAATCGCGTAATATGAAATGAACGCACCGGAGACTTTGTTGTTCTTAGGCTATCCCCGTTGCACATACTCGCTGAGTTGGTGTGGTAACGGGTCGTCGGCATTTTCCATTCGTAATTCCTCGATAGTTAAGGCCGTTAGGTTAGAGCGAAGCCTGGAGACTAATACTGCTTCTCTGAGTCTCTTCTTGTCATCCTCCAGCCTCACCGTTAAGCGAGATAATCCATCAGCAACGGTTTTGCAAACCCTGCCGGTACACAATTTGAACATCTTAGTTACGGAGTCTAGCATACCAGCGATCGATCCGCATTGGAAGTGCTCCTTTAGATCCATTGCTGAGGAGGACTGTAAGGGCGGAGTGATCAGTTCGTAGAGTGAAACGACGTTCGAAGAGGAAATGATACCCTTCATCACAATTAAGGGCTTCTTTCTCCCCAACTGAATAGTGACGCTTAGCATCTGAGAGTTTCTGGGCTGCCTAAACAATAACTATTTTCTCTCCGTTTTTAGCTGTGACAGAACAGCATCGAGACCAACATCAAACGCATCAGTCTACACAAAAGTGCGGCATGATTCATCAAAAATAGCAACTGAGGGATCAGGTGCAACCCTACTTTTCAGTTCATCGAAAGCGTTTTGCTAATCGCTTCTCCAAGTGAACGACGCTTCTTTCTTTGTTAGTTGTCGTAATGGATCTGCTAGGGTGGCAAAATTTTGCAAATAGCGCAGATTGTAGGAACACATTCCCAAAAATTACTTCAGTTCTGTCACGTTCTTGGGTGTTGGTGCTTGTGTGATGGCCGGAACGTTTTTTTGCCTGGGCGAATGCCGCCACACGATATGATGTGTCTCAGAAATTGAATCTCGAGGATATTGAATTAACATTTTTTGCATTCAACCGTAAATCAAGCTCACTGAGACACCGAAGGACTTTGTATAACCTCTCATCATGCTCTTCTTATGAACGGCCGAAAACACAGGTATCAACCATGCAACCTGCCAAGGCGTGAGTCACGAACTTCAGTCAGGCAGCGGGTGCAGAACTCAAACTCATTAGCACCACTTTATACTGGAATAAGCCATCGGGAGCAAGGGAGGCAGTAAGGTGTTTCGAGTCGTTGGCCAATGGCACATGGAAGAATGCACTTTTCAAATATAACCTGGAAATGGTTACACCAGTTACACATGCGGTGAGTTCCTCCATAATGGCAACACGAATCGCTCTACGACAGTCTGCTTATTTAGTCCCTGCAAATTGTTTCGTATGTTGACAGTGCCATCTTTTCTCAGGACACTTACCATTGAATGCACCCACTCTTAGCAGTCGATGGGTTCAATTAAATCATTTGCTAGCATCTCTTACAGCACCACTGAGACAACTTAACATTTTGCTATCGGAATAGGCCGAGGTTGACCAATGGTAACGGGTTTTGCATCCTACTTCAGCGGAATGCGGTGCACACGACATGGAATGGGTCCGATGAACTGCTGAAAAAGTCTATTGTAACCTTCATGCCAGTATGTAACGTTGACAGAAGGAACGAGCATGCAGTCGAAAAATGGCACTACTTGGTAAGCCACTATGGCGTTTTTTTCCAAGTAAGAAATGTATACTACAATATTCACAACTACCGAATGCAGGACAGGACAGGATTCAGGGAGGAAGCAAGCTTCCGCTTAACGAGCGTCCCGTTTCGTGTGCCAGTAAGCAAAAAAGAGTCCCCAGCACTGCGACTTGATAGAATGTTCTTGCTTCTATACAGAACAAAAGCAAGTGAAAAACGGCCAACACGTTTTCATAAAGTAATGAGATTAGGGGCAGTCACTTAAGCTTAAGTAACTTCTGGAAACGTCCAGTCAATATTCGACTAGGCTACGTTTAAATTCGTCCACAGTTTCCCATGCTGATAGAACAGCTGTAAAGGCACGATAATAATAAGTAGAGACGCAGAATCTAGTTCCATTTCAAGTTCCACAGTGCCTTTGATGGTAAGGGACGACACAATACGACTATCAGCAGAGGGAAGCTTTGGCTCAATAACGGATATTGTTGCACTTTTTGAAGTCCATTCATGTACGATGCCCATTTCTTTGAATTTCGAAGAGGAAAATGAGCGGCAAGCGTTTAACAAACAATTGTTTTCGATTAATTCATCATCAGGTTGTTACAATAATAGATGCTAAGTTGGAATAGGTTAGGTTAATGTACAACACATCAATTGCTTAAACGGTTTAAACTGCTTTCCCGACATTGGTCTGGTGACTAGGTCACGGATGTCCTATGAGAGTTGGGATGTGATCCCCTTCTTTCGTTTGTGGTTTGTCATGACAATTGTAGTGATTGCACCATCTCCTTTTGGATGCATAGATTTGGATTCCTCAGTGTTTTACATACCCCCTCCGCGTCAGCTAGCAGACGATTCCTTCTTCGGGGGGTTGAGTATATTGTTACTTTGTACAC